ATCTTGTATAACAAGCGACAACGACGACAAATGTCTATGTACTACTACCATACATATCTCAAAAGTCGGTTGGGCCAAATATTTTTATGGACAACTTCCGGCTGATTCTGGTCATAAGAAACCTCTTGAGGGAAGGGAGGGGCAGTCCGTACTCACCACTAAAAAAAAAAAAAGGAAAATCCAATTGGCATTGGAATTAGTATAGCGGCCCATGATCGTTGACTTTATCTAATCGTGGAAAATCAAGAAATTAAGTGCTGCCTTTGGCGTTGCACCTGCTTTGGCCCAAAGTTTGTCGCGTTGGCGTCGCGCGTTCAATTGAATTTTGTTTGGCTTATCGCTCTCGGCACTCTTGCAGATAAAAAATGTTTCAGCAGCGTTATGTCATTGCCAGGCATGACTAAGCCACCCAGTCCAATCCCAATCTCAATCCTCCAGCACAGTGCAGATTAAAGCCACAGCATTGGGGCCTTTTCTCCTCTCTCTAAATGGTAGCAAACAACAACAGACCCCACCCACCCACCAGTTCCATTAATGGCAATCCGTGGCAGTGGCAGGAGAGGGGTGGGGTATGGATACCTAATTGGTAACCCATTTGTATGCACAATCACACGCCCACAGCTCAGCGGTACAGGGGATGACACATCCCTTATTACTGCTTGAAATCATTCTACTTTTTGCGCAGAACTCAAGCTGTGCAACTCCCTAATTAGTCATGCTTCTGGGAACAGAGTGTTGACCAAGATAAGAGTTCAACTCCAACAAGTTTCAACTTGTTTGGGCGAAAAGTTTGCCAGACTACAGCAGTTTGTACCGCTTTGCCGGCTGTCCCAACCGGTTCCGGTGGGTTCAAGTTTTACTTTATGAATGGTATGGTATGGTTCACGTTTTCAGTAGACTTTTTAGCTGTAACTTGGTTTCTTTATGGATGCCACATCTCACATCATCATATACACATCATGGCCATTCGAATGATCGATGAAGTCAGTCAAAAAAACTGACTCATGGAAAAATTATGATATCGGGCGGAATGTACAGCCGGATACTAAAAAGAAATTCTGATTTCAAGAAATACACAAATGAATTTATTGTAAAATGAATTGTTAAACAAACTGTGCTATGAGAGGACAGTTTTTAGCTTTCAGATCCACAGACTTTGAGATCAGGCATAGATTCTAACTGTAACTGTCAGTACATGAATCACGGCAGTCGAAAATAGAGCTAGAAGGGAGAGGAGGGGCAAATGGAGCACGCAAAACGATTTGTTTTAATTAAATGTTTTTTGTATTCTGCGTGAGCTGTAAAAATTGCTAATTAAATTAGGCGTCCGTCGCCTATGGGGGGGAAGACGGCGGGTGGCTGCTTATCAGAAGACAAGCGGAAAAGCCAAATACAAGTAACACACAAGTAAAAGAAGGAGAAGAATAAGGCGACGGGAAAATTGGATTATGTGGTTAGTCGGCGTCTAGCAGGAATTTTTCTTCATTTTCAGAAGAACCGTCGGTTTGTCCCTACCACCCCCCTCCATCCACGTTACAATAAAATTCTTTTGCGAAAAGAAAAGGCAAAGTGGAACAGGCAGCAGAGGCAGTACAGCGAACCGAACGAATAAACGAAAAGAGACGACAACCAAGGAGGCCAAGCACAAAGCGAAACAGCAAAATAACCGCAATGCGGCAAATGAAACGGTTATGGAAGAAAACAACAAAAGGTAGGCGCCGCGACAACGAGTCGGTCGGCACGAAACGAAACGACATGAATCCGAATGTGAAGAAAGCGCACGCAGATAAAAGTGCAAAACGCAGAAAGCAACAACAGAAAAATACTCAACATCCGAAAGAAACGGGAAAGAAGAGGCAGAGAGGCACGAGAGAGAGCGACGCAGCACAAAAAGGAGCTGATAACAAAATGTGCAGAATAGAGTGCGAGAGAGAGGAAGCTCACACCATTCACACAGAATACTCACACCAAGAGGACAGAGAAACTGTGTGAAACGGTTATAAGAGAGAACCAGCGCAGCAAATTGCTCTCTTCTCCGAATCGGTTACAATGAGAGCGTGCGCAAAGCAGACGAGAAAGAAATTCCACAAGCCAAACGAATTTTTTCACCATTTCGTTTCCAACCTCAATTTAGCGGCCAAATATGCGGTAAATAAAAACGCAAGCAAAATACAAGCACAAAGCAGAGCGAGCAAAAAGCAAAGAGGACGGAAAGACCAACAATATGCCGGGTCCGGCGGCATTATTGTTGATCCCGTCACCACTTCAAATATGATAAGAGCAGGAATTGGGCTTTTCTATAATTTTCTGATAAAGGTGTTGCTGGGGCCATGCCTTAACGGAGAGTCAGGGGGAGTGCAGAACCGTTGCAAAGGTGTTGTGGAGATGCTGATAAGAAGTGCCTGCCCGTTGGAAGGGTGGGCCCGTGCCGAAAGCGTCATGGAATTAAATTGAGACCTGATCGAGATGGTGGATATGTGTGCTGCGGCCTGGAAAATTGTGATCAATACCCAAGTAAAACCGGAATATCTAGAAAGATATATTCCATTTTTACATATTACATCTTTGGTATTTTTCAGTTTGTTCCCGTTTAATAAAAGAATTTGATACGTCCAGTGAGTCCACGTGCAAGTGACAGAAAATTGACATTAGAACCTGGTTTTCAAACGTTTTGAATTGCCGTTGTTGCAGTTTTTCTGCCTTTTTTTTATAATTGGAGTAAATTCTCAAGAATTACGTTTGAGGGGTAACATGGCAAATACATATGTATGTGCATATATATTTTTTATAGAACAGGAATAAAAACCAGTTTTTTTGGGGTGCGAAATGTAAACGAAATTTTCGGGGACAGCTGCTTTTTAGGGGTTGTGTGTGTTATATGTGTTGAAAGCCGTTAAAACCATATAAACAACATCTAATTGGATGGGAGGATGCCTCTGCGTCCAGCCATCTATCCCATCTCTCCACCCCGCCGCCACACATCACACCACATGGGAGGCCGTTGTCTGACTTTGATTTCTCGCCAAAATATTTGTGAAATTTCAATGGAAAATGTGAATTTTGTGTTTCTATAAACAAATGCGGGAGATAGATGCACATGTTTTTGGGAATTCATACACTTACCATTTTTATTGTTGGTTTTGTTGGTGGAAAGAGTAACTAAATGTTAATCCGCTGCGGCTGCTTCTGCTGCTGCTTGTTGGTATGTGTGTGAGTGGAATTACGTTGTTGGGGGGGATTGGAACGCGCGCTCTAACGTTTAACTAGAATTTTATTTGCGCTAAACACACTGCAAAGATCAAGAAGAAGAGGGATGTGTGAGGAAACACGCAGGTTGATTAACGGCACAGCGGCAGCGGCAGTAACAACTTCTTCCAGAAAAACAACAATTGGCAAGCGAAAGAACTAAAGTTAGAGACGCGGAGACTTTTGTGATATGTTTTCCACGCTGCTGTGCTGCTGCTGCTTCTGATGTGTTTGTTGTTGCTGCCACTGCTGCGTTGCCGAATTTAATACAAAATTTGCCCTGGCATTATTTTTTGTTGCTTTTCATTCGGGTTTTGGTTTTTTCTTATTTTAATTTTTTCTCTTTTTGCTTTTGTGCGAAATATGCCAAACACACGCGCGCACACGGCAAGATTTTCGTTTATATAGTATCTGGTGAGTGCTGGCACATATAGGCATTGCTCGGACTCGGCTTTTATACAGATATTTGTTTCATTTTCTCGTTTTCATATATTCTTTGGCGTTGATTTGCTCGGTTTTAGTGGCTGTTTTTCGCGGAATTCGTGGGGGGACAGAAGAGCAGATGGAACTTTTATTTCTTTCTTTCGGCTCCTCGCAGCCCCTTCAAAGTGTGTGCTTGGGTGAAATATTTGGACTCTGGGGCAACTCACGATCCTAATCAGAAGTTCCGCAGGGCGCCAGGCGACTTGTTCACGACAAAACCAGAAAATAGAATGACTCTCTCGAATTCGGTAAAATATGTGATAAATATAAATCCACTTTTCAAACGAGCTCATTTTTGCGCTTCGCTCATGAGCTTTAACCCACTCAAGCCCCCTCTTTTTAAGCAGGTGAACAAAATGAGTTCAACCGCGGAGAATAATGCTGTGTGTGAATGATTCTTGTAGATCCAAACATCCTCCTTACTTATTACCACGATAGCTATCACCTGAATTGCTTGAGGAAGTTCTGCAAGTTTCATGATATTCGTGAGTGTATTCAAACACCCGCTTGTCGACAATGGGTTAATCTTCATGCGAAATTACATTCCTCGATTTTGATATTCCTATTGATATTACTACCTAGTTGGGACAATCAGCAATTGACATATACTTTTATCAGATGGAGGAATTAGTTTTCTACAAGATTGGTTAAATTTAAAGACTGCTCTGCAGCTTTGACTGTGGTTTTATTTCAAAATACATCTCAACCAGTTTTAACTTTAACAGTCCTCGTGCCATAAACTATTTCGCATTTAGGGCTTTGTATTTATCATTTATAGACTTAATCAACTGATTGATTGATCCTCAATATTTTCTTCAAAATTACCTATACTTATGTCCCAAATTAAACAATTTAATAACAATTATATTTAGTAAAAGCAGTTACCGATAAGATATACGCACATATAGCAATATACATATGCCAATATGTAACAGTTATACCGATTCGAAGCGAGAGAGAACGCAGCTGAGAGAGCAAAAATATAATGCAGACAACAAAAACGCCAGAGAGTGAACCGGTTCTGTTCTTGCGCTCTTTCTCTCTTATCTGCAAATTTTTGACTTTTCTGGCTCTTGCTTTGCCGTCTCTTCGTAAACTGAAGGCAAGCAGACAAAGAAATATATTTAATTTTTCCCCTGTAACGGTTGCGCCGGCGCAACAGAAGGCGTACAATGGGGCATATTAGCTTATAATAACCATATGTAATATATACATACAATCCAACAGTACTTCTAACGACAGCTTCTATGCTTTTAAAAATGCACCATGGATTGGGTTAAACTGGGAATTTATTATTCTGACTTGTTAGCGCTGTGAGCACTGTGAGCACTGTGGGCACTGTGTACACTTGATCGAATGATTCGCTCGGTTTTGTCCTGCGACGTGGTGTTGGTAATCGAATCCTGCTGGTGAGACATCCTCTGCAGGAAGTTCACAATGCTGTAGGTTGTGATGAAGGAGCTGAGAGTGGGAATCAGCGTCTCGCCACGGCTTTCGGCTTCCTGGCGTTCCCTCTCCCGTTTCTCGTGCCTCTCTAGACGCGCCTGGCGCTGCCTGTCTCTGACCGCTTCCGCGTCAAAGTCGTCCAGGTCAAAGTGCGTGTCGGCCACGGGGTGGACAAAGACGCCTTTCTTCAGATATAGGTCCAGCTCGTCGGGCGTCATGTTCTTGGTCTTGATCAGCTCTGTGAAGGCGATTTTGGCCTCCAGCTGCTTGGCCTGGGAGCGCTTCAGGCGGTAAAAGTCCTCCCGCTCGAACTCCTCCAATTCGGCGCAAATGTAGTTGTAGGTACGGACCAGCTGTGGGATCACCACGTGCTCCAGAGCGTTCACCCGCATGTTTGTTTGTCGCGAGGCTGCCCCCAGCATCCGCACCATGTACTCCAGGGAGCAATATGCCACCAGATCCTTGAGGGCACTGATATAATGCGTCCGCACCTTCTGCACCTGAACTCCGCCGCAGGAGAGGCCTGCCAGCGGAAAGGCACCTCGCTCCTCAGCCTCCAGCTCGAAGGAGTTGAGCGGCACGCCCACGATCTTTTGCTGCGTCTTGCGCAAAATGGCCGTGGCGGTCTTGTTGTCAGCTACAATCACTGGCTTGAAGTCCGTGCCCAGTAGATTGGCCTTGGCCAGCGAGAAGATGGCCGCCCGCATTCGCTCGTCCACGTTGTTCTCCTTCTCGTGCATGCTGCGGCGCAGCTCGCGCAGTTTCAGGTCAATGGCGTCCCGCTTCCGCTTTAGCAGACTGATGCCTCGCTGCCCGGACTGGACACGCAGCTTCATCAGCACGGAGTTCGCCCGCGAGGGGAATATGGGCAAGATGTCTTTGTTGGACATGGTGATGCTCCTGGATCCTCTGCTCGTTTCAAGTCAAGAAAGTAAGTCAGTCTGAATTGTTTAATTTGAATGGAATCAAGAGCCTACTTGACACATGAAATTAAAAGTAAACTTCAAATTCTGCTAGTTACATGATAAAAACTCTTGGACTCTTGGAGAGACAAAAATATCTACACGTGACCAATCTCATTCTGCTCATATGCCCTGAAAACACCCTTAGATTGGCCAACCCAACTAATCCGTGGTCAGCGATGGACAGCGACAGCGATGGCCAGAAGAGGCAGAAGAAGCCGAAAATATCTGCAATTACAATGTGGAATGAAGAACACACACAGGCACACACATGAACAGAGGAGCACACATGCACACACAGAAGCCAAAATTCCACTGGGATGGGACCAACGATTTTGCGCATTTTCCAGCTGCGGTACATATTCTTTTGCCGCAGCAAAGTGTCGCAATGTTGCGCCGTTCGGTGCAATCGCAAGAGCGACGGCGACGGCGACAGCAGCAGCCTTGCAACGCATGCCAACAAGTTAAGTATGTTAACCTCTGCGAAAATTAGACATGCCAAACGGACGAGGAGAGGGAGAAGGTGTAGACGAATGGGTGGGTAACGAAAACGAAAATGAAGTAACAATGCAGCAAACATGGGGCAGGGTCAAAGGGCGACGATGTCGACGCGACGACAGCATTGCGCCATTTTTCGTTTGCCCCGTAAGACATGAAATTCGGCTGCGGCTCGTACGCTGTCTGTTCCCCCCGCCACCCACCACCCTTGCTCTGGAACATCGCGTGTGTATGCGTGTTGGGTAAACATTTGGACAGGCGTTTTCTATCTTCTGGATTGTCGCTGTCGAAGCAGAAGCCTCTCAACCGATGTGGGGGTACACCATTCCCTGTCCCTTCCAAAACATATCGGAATTCGATGAGACATGAAATGCATTTCGGATTTCTTTAATCCAATTGGATAAGATTTGGCCAGAGGTCTTGATACGAGTATCAACCCAAAAATGTGTGCTATGGAAAAATTGGAAATAATTCTTCTTAAACAAACAGATCCTTCGTGGTGGCCAAAACTATTTCTCGTATATTAGCTCGTATGAATTGTACAACTAACGAAACTAATGAGCAAATAAATATAATTCCCTAGCCCTTTCCCTTTTTTGCCTTCTTTAGACGCTTGTTCTTCTTGCGCTGATCCTTGCGCCACTTTCGCCAATACTTTTGTATCTTGGAGGCTGCCCGATTCATCATGAAGACGACAAGGCGCTGCTGTTGGCGTCGGCGCTCCTCCTCTTCCCGCTGCACAACGATGTCATTGTAAACGGCCTCCTCGCGCCGGTACACGACCATGAAGCTATCAAGCGCCTTCTTAGCCACCATATATTGGTCTTGGAGCACCAAATTCTCCCGGATCACATCCCCCATGTTCGCGTCGTACTTCTTAACCAGACTCTGCAGCTGCAACAGGAGCTTGTTCCTGTAAGAGTGGCAGACAGTGTCGCGTCGGTGGGGGGGAATGTTATTAAATAGGAAAGAAATCTTTTACTTTTCATTGCGGGCCTCCTGCTCTTCCATCAGATGCTGATAAGTGAGCTTTGCGTAGGCATCCCTGGAAATCTGCAGCTGCTCCTCCAGCTCCTTTTGCTTATCCAAGCTGCTCCTGTGGTTAATGCGCATGGCGCGGCTGCATTTCTCGCTAACGAGAATAAATAAGGGAAAGGGAAAAAGAAAATGTTAGAATCGAAAATCAGGCTGCAGGCTTCCTTTCACTCACATCTCGTTCTGAATTCGGACATTGTTCTGCCACTTCTTGTAGGCCAGATCGTCCTCGACCTTCAACAGCAAGATTCCCTTGGCCGTCAGCTTCCATTTCTCCATAATGCGGCGACTAGCCAGGTCCTTTCGCACATTTGCGATCTTCTTCCGGATGTCCTCGTTCTTGTGGTACATCTCGTGCAGCATCCGCTCCTTGCTTATTTCGCTCTTGGATGAACGGTACAAATGCTCTTTGGCAGTGTCCAAGAGGACTTGGAACGAGACTATAATTGTGCGGTCCCTGTCGCTCAGGTTGCGCATTAATTGGGGGAAGAACTTGTAGATCTGGTAGTTCTTCTGAAAGTAATCGAGTATCTTGATCGTTTTGTGGTCGATGGGCAGCGTGAGCTCTGCCCCCATGCGGTTCATATGGCTCTCCAACAGATCCTCAACCGGCTTCAGGATCTCCTCGTAAGATGTGCCCTCGAGCACCCGGCGCAGTGTTTGGGGCTCCTCCAGCAACTTGGGCAGGATCAACGATATCTTAATTATCTCTATAGCCTGCTCGAGGACTCGCAGCACGCACTCAATTCTCACGGCACGCAGAGAGATTCCGTCTAAGGATAGGTAGGGGTTCGTATGCTCCATTGCCTTTGAAAAACTTTCATTACAACTCACCCATTTTGTCTGTTTTCGGGAAACTTGATCTTTTCTTTGGTGTAATCTGTCGGTTTGTATGTCTCTGTTCATAGCCCTTACAGCTCTGAGCCAAGCTGGTAATATTCTGATGATTACAACACGCCTGTTTACTTTGTTTAAATGGTTGCCTGGTTACAGCTGCAGCGCTGGCATTGACTTTGTCATTGCTGCAAAGGGAGGGTATGATTGAAGAACGGATTTTCCTGGGAAGACTGCGAGAACTTGTCCAAAGTTCCCAAAGGTATGTTGCTGTTGTGTCAACTATAAGACCATTAAACGAACACAAAGGTGGTAAGGGAGTGCGGCATTTATGGGGGATATATGTACATATATAAAAAATACTATGTAATGTGTACTAACCAATCGATGTAGTGTACACTACTATCTGCAAATTGCATGCTCTAAAATGAGAAGGCAATTCTTCAGCTCTCATTCAACCCCACCAATTCATGGGCCAGAGAACTTCCACGGCGCCCCCGTCCTAAACACATTTCATTTCCATTTCCTTATCCCACTTCCCATGCCCCATTCCCATTGCCATTTCCATTTCCATGGCCACCCCCAAATCATTCCACCAAAACCATTTCCCAGGGCGAGGAGCCACCGCAATGACACAGCTGCTGCGTCAAGCGACCGCGCAACAAGTATGAGACGGCATCTGGAGAGGCCAAAAGAACACACAACAACAACGCTGGCAACCAACCGCAGCAGTCCAAAAGCTTCCAGGCGACGACAAAAATGAATGGCGAACATTTGCTGAAAGCGTTGCCAGCCCCCAGTAAAGGTTCGGCAACAGCAACAGCAACAGAACAAATGAAATGTGCTTGTCTGAGTAAAATGCTGCAATGCTGACGAACCAGCAGGAATACACAAGTACAAGGAATACAAAAAAAAAAAGGAAAAAAATGAAATGCAAGAAAAGGACAGAAATAAAATTGAGCAAGAAATAATATTTTTTGTTGCTGCTGCTGGCTGGCTGGCTGGCTCTTGGCTCTGGCCATGTTGATGCGTGATAAAGATGGTAAGAAAAGCGTTGAGCGATAGATGAACCACACACGGGACAGAGAGAGAGAGAGAGAGACAAAAAGAGAGATATACAGTCAAAGCAGAAAACGTAAAAAAATGACGCATAAACAGCTCAGGGAGAGAGTGAAGCGAAAGAGAAAAGCAGCGCAGCAGAGAGTGTGCAGCAGATTTGGTGGTGGCGGCGGTGGTGCTGCTGCTGCTTCTGTTGCTGCTTCTGTTGCTCCCACATACGTAACAAATGGCCATGTAAAGCGCCACAGCAGAACAACGCCAACCTCTAACGGTACTGCAAAGGCAAAGAACGTGCAGCCCAAAAGCGACAACCAAAAACCGTAGCTCTCTCTTAGGCGCTCTCTCAGTGTACTGGTGTCCCACATTGTACCGTTTCGAGCTGTCTGCTGGCTGGCTCATTAAGCCCCAGCGACGAGGACACGACGTTGCCGTTGCCTTGGCAGCATTACCCAGCTCTTGCTGCTTATTGTTATATATTTTCATAGTCCTTACTTGACTTTTGCTTCTTCTTTTTTTGATGGTTGGGTTCTTTCATGACTATCTACGACAGTGAGTGCAAAATTTCACAGAAATGTTTCCCCGTTATGCTTGGCCTGGCCGCATTGCAGCTATAAATTTGTTTGTGGTTTACTTTTGCCTTGGAAGATTATACGTATCCGAAAACCCCAGTGGCGAGCGGGCGAGATAGTGATAGAGAGAGAGAGACAGAGGCAGAGAAAGGGAGAACGGGAATGTCATGGAACAATGGGCATAAGGAAAGGGAAACGAGAAACAAGAAACGAGAAACGGCAGGCTAACGGTGCTTGCCGACTGTTTTAATGGGGTGGGCGAGAGGATGGTCCGCATGAAACCCCATAAAGAACCTTTTTGAAAGTGTTATTATAATGCTTGGTCTGGCAATAGGAAGGTCACTCTGGTTATTGCCAACGGAAACTTAAGATATCCCCCCATGGGGCTCCCTTGAGCCAGCAGGCAAAAGATTTTTCTGATAGTTGTAGTAAATATGTGCATACATATGTACATATGTATTGTATATGGATAAAGGTGGGCTAGTTCCTATTCTTTTGAGAACAGCTGGGGAAACTTTATGGAATTAAAGTGCTGCTAGTGGGATCTGATCATTCTGGCTTACTTCCGACAATTGAGTTTAGTTGCTGCCAGGATCCATTAGTCTTGTCCTCGGTCCGTGTCCAAGAAACGACCTGAGGAAATGTTCTCAGTTGATAATGAAGTCACACCCAAAAACTCAAACGAAACTAGCTCGGCCGATTCCTGGACAAGTTTCTGCTGAATTTTTCATGATTTTTTTTCCTCTCCGTTTTGTTTCCCGGCCCGTTTCCGTTTGGCAGTTACACGTAAAAGTCCCTGTTCTGGCTTTAGTTTGTGTGTGTGTGTGTGTGTGGCTTCGGAGCAGTCTAGCATGCTGCTTTTGAGTCGGTAACGTTTGGTTCTTTTATGGAGGAGCCTGCCACTGTGCCACGCTCAAGTTGTCTCAGAAACTTTTGGCTTCTGCTCAGCTTTTCTTCCGTTTGGTTTGACACCCAACCTTCTCTCTAATTTGAATTTTCTGAACTGTAAAGTGAGCGACACAGCAAACGACATTAGTCGCTGGGTGGGGGGGGGGCGTATGGAGGCTCCAGGAAGAGTTAACTTGGCTAATAAAGTGTGCCTACCTCCACGCTTGTAGAGCGTGGCCTGTCTGCTTACAATTTTTATGATATTTAAAAAGTTTTCTCTTTTCTTTGCCAAGGTATGCCAGGTGGATAATTTATTAACTTTTAAAAATGGAAAAAATATGCATAATAATAATTCAGGGCACTCCTTTGAAAGTTTTTCTAAGTTGTCATGCCAGACTACATTTATCAGTCATGAGGATCCATGGTGAAGGAAATTAAATGTAAGTAATTTCGAATCAAATGTTAATAATGGTATACTCCCAGCTAACCACATCCTCCGCTCCATTAATTGTGATGGAGGGAAAATATTTTGTTTCACATGACCCCAAGCACGTGCTGGCTATCAGTCAGCTTGGATCATCTTCAAATATTATTTTTCTATATTTATTTTTGCTATATTTTGTATACGTTTCTGTTTGACCAAAGTCAACAATAAATGGCAAAATGCCGGCACGTGCACCGGGGTCGTGTTCAATGTTACTTCCTGGCCCCTCATTCTCCTCGATCTCCGCTTTACTAGTTCTACTTTCCCTCTTCTTGTCATCCAACTCTTACCACCTAATGCTTCCTACTGGCCGTCTCCGTACTTCTGCTATTTATTTTAGGCCAAACACAAAATGTCCTGACCGAATGATTGATGAGACTGCGAAAAAATTCAGTTGTTAGTGGTAAACCAACCGTCGCTTATCCTCATTTTCCCCACCATCTCCCCCACCTGAAAATCTTACCGAAAATCTCTCCGACAAGTTAATAAATTCTTTTTGTGTGCTGCATTTAACGCCTAGAGAATTCCGTTCCGTTCCTTTTCTTTTTGTTCTCTTTTCTTTTGTAAATTTTTGCTTTTGGGAAACTTTCTAATGAAGTCGCTGTGGGAGAAACCTTTATCAGGTTTCTCTGCATTGTACCCTCCCGGTGTTTGCTTAGTCTCTTTTTCTCTATCTCAATGCTCTGTATGCAAGGCACGCAAATTTGTTGCCAATAAGCAACCGAAAACAATTTTTATACGGACCGAATGGGGTGTGTGAAGAAGAAGTGATGGTGGCAGATGGGTAGGCGGGGCATGCCACTTGCCTATGCGTGCTGCGTGCCTTCTGTACTGCTTTTTTCCCCCTTGGCTTCCCTTTGCCTTTGCTACTTCGTGTTTTGGAACGGAGCTGCTGCTTCGCAGGACCAGTCCCAGTCCCAATCCCTTTCCCAGGCCCAGCAGTTGCTTAGCTACAGAGGCCCCAGGACCCGAAAATGTAGGTCATGTTGGACTCTGTATTGGGGAGGCAATTCGTCAGCAGAGAGCGGAGTGGGAATGCGAGTGCAAGTGGAAGAGAGAGAAAGAGATATGGAGAGGCAGCGAAACATACACATACACTGCCAGCCATCGTTATACATGCACAGAAATTTTGGTTGCTGTCCGGGCTGGATCTGGCTGGAAGAGAAAGAGAAGAAGTAAGAGATACACAGAGAAAGTGGGTGAGTGGGTAGGTGGGAGAGGGAGCGGAAGGCAGTGAATTGGGGGAGCAACACTGTGCTACCCATGAATACTTAAGCATGGGCGTTGCCCCAGACTCCTACCACCCACCCATGCCTACGCCTAAGCCCGCGCCTCTCGTTGGATCTGCTCCGTCTCGTGCTTTATTACAATGAAAATTTCATTAGAAAATTGAATGTTGATGTGTCACATGTGCTACATCCCACAACCCTCCCCCCATTAAGTTCACACATTGTTCCCTCCATTCAATTTTGAATTGACTTTTCCTTTGCTACTTTATTTTTGATATTCATATTTAAATGGGGGTGTGCATAAGAAAATAAGTCTGGGACATAGCTTATCAATTGTTTGTATGCAACAATTATTGAATTTTTTAATAGATACTTCCGTTGAAATGTGAAGAAACAAATAAAACGTTCTATGGAAAACCAAATATTTCTCCCAAAATCAGATCACTTGACAACTTAGTGCTCATCCGCAATGCGATTGATTGAACCAAACACAAACACAAAGAGGAGGAATTCGGCCCAAAGCAAGGAAGTTGTTCAGAGGCAGAGTAATCAGAGGGCTGGCGCAGCAGTTAGAACTTAAGTGCTTAAGTGGCAAGGCTGCCAAGCCAGGCACTTTGGTCTTATGTTAGATTAAGATGTTTGTGTGAACATTTGTTGTAGCAGATTGAACAAGCATCTACATCAGCCAAGCATTGTGGAAGATACACTGTACAGGCTTTGCCTGGAGGGCGAACAGAACAGACACCCAGCAGTCGATGGGATGAGATACACTGATATATTAATTAGAAAATAACTATTATTAAATGTTTAACCATTTCTATGCTCTAGATTTACCCGCTGCGAATAAGAGAAATTTAATAATTATTCTAAAAATTTCCAGTTCTTTTAATTTGCAATATATTTGTTAAGTGAAGTGCCTTTCCATTATGTGATGTGAGTTTCAAAATGAGCCACCAAAAAGGCATCAACCACAAACTTTTCCACTCAACTCAGTCTGACAGCAGCCACATTGCGTATACGCTATGCGGGGCGAGGCCGAATCCCATCATCTATTCTCTAAACACCCAGACAAATGGGCGTTCCTGTCAATATGAGTAGTAGCTCATCAAAGTTTCATTTTTACAGACCTTACCATTGCATGCAAATCATGTACAACAACACAAAAAATCGAGAAAATTGGGAACTTTCGACAAACCGTTTAACCCGAAACTGAAAAGGAAACTTCAACAAAGACGAACGAAAAACTTTTATTTATGACCAAATCGTGGGTGGGGCTTAAAGGCAAAAATGTCTTGTAATAAATCTTGTTATATGGTCGATACATGCTCGTATATTTTTCGGTTAGATATTTTGTGTTGTTTTCGGCACCCCAACAATCAACTGAAAGTTTGTGACACATGCAATAATTTGATTTTGCTCGCAAATGTCGCGGGCAAGATGGTAATAAATTGAACAAAAAATTGGCGATAGAAGTTGAAAGCAAAATAGTAGAAAAAGAAGACGTAGTGGCAGAGGAATGAGCTAAGCGAGTGGCAAAAATATAAAGAATATAAACAATGAATGGCTTAAAATAATACTAAATAAAGAAGCTGAAGAAGTATGACACAAATTGAAGAAGATTTAAGAAGAAGCTGCAAGAACGGCAAAGGAATTCGGAAAAAATTGTTTAAAAAAATGCAAAAGAAGTGGAGACAACTCGCTTTCGCTTTAGTTTTCGTTTTCGTTTCCATTTTCAATTTTCAGTCAGCCAACTCGCTTTCTTTTATTCACTTACATGCTCGTTGGGGGCGTAATGAGACAGAGTTTCCCTACCAGCCCCACTCCCTGGTACTTGCTTCCTGCTTCTACCCATCACACCACCCTATACCATCATCGAGCATGTTTTATCGATAATTCGTGAGTGCGACGCAAGAAAAACACTCTGCGGGGAGGGTGGGGAGCTGGAGTGGATACCCGGCCCTACACCTCCACCCACTCCATCGACCCGTTCATCCCACTCTCATACATTTAGTCTGTATAACAAACAAATGTTTTGTATGTGTCAGGCGCCGGTTTTTCTTATTTTCCCAGCTTTTCCCTTTTAGTGTTATTATTATTATTTCTCTTTGTTTTTTTTTTATCCGAAAATCGGTTTTTGCGGACGCGCAGCTGACACGGAACTTCACAGAACACAGGATATCGTTGTATATACATACATACATTTGTATTGTATATGTATATGTGTGGCTCTAGGTGGAATCCATTTGGAATGTATTGACAGGAAATTGGAACCGGTGCCCAGACGTGGATGACTATGATCGGCCTCTGCCACTGTCGTAAAGACTTTTGTTGACTGTCGATGTTTCGTTTGCTGGTTTGGGGGCCTGATGGCATGAAGGGCTCGTGCTGGTACTAAATGTAGGCGTATATATGTACTGGGACATGGGCCCCCAAATAGTCGCCCAGTAGTTAAGCTAAAAATAATATGAAATTTATTGCTGTAAATGACAAAACAGAATCTACCTATGGAATAAGTATGTCTACAAATTTGATTTATTTGTTTTTTCCGAGACAGGACAGTTCTTTGACTCCACCGATGACGGCCCGATTGACATTAGAAGGTTACGAATGGGTTGAAGGTACAGTCAAAAGGCATATTGCCCGGAGGAGGTACATATGTACATACGTATATGGTATTTATCAGACATATGTACATTCAGCGGACATACTCGTACATTTCTACTGGTGCTGTTTTCTTGGGTAATTCTACTCAGATTTTGCGGGCATTAATGTTGCCCACAGAAGTATGCTATGAAAAATTAAATTTGTTCTCTCCCATTAAAATCTCATCCAAGAAAAACGACACCATCACCATGCACTCAAATACTCATAAATTATAGAATTATTATTCAATTAGCGTGACAAACAAGTCCCATGCATAATGCAGCACTAGGAAAAGTGTGCGTCCAAGTGGGGGAAAGGCCAACCAAGACATGCAACAACAAATACAACTGCAGTGTTAAGCTTATTAATAGAAAACAAAGAAGAAGAAGCAAACAGTAAGAAGAAAACAGCGCAAAATGTCAGCGCCATGTCAGAAAGCGCATTAAACAAGAAAGCAGCAGCAGAAGCAAAAGAAGAAAGTGAACCAGAAGGGGGGAAAATGCTTGGAAAACAAGGCAGACCCAAGTTAAATGAAAATGAAAAATAATTAGCAAACAACTGCAGTGAAAAGGCAGCTCGGAAAAACAGAGAGAACGCGGGGAAATGCGAAAGAGCGAGGTCGTGCCTTGGGGCAGAGATTACGATAATTATATTACAATTTTTATTATTTTATGATATTTCATTTTGCAGCTTTATTATAATGGCGCAACCAGGCAGTCTGACCTTGTCCAAAACGAAGTGACAGAAAAATGTCGAGTAACATGAGTCGCGGATACCTTTACAATCATGAATATAATAATAAAAGGCCCGATCTATGAATACGAGTATATCTGTAGTATAGGTATATAAAATAATCTCAATACTCCTTTAGCTATAGCTGTAAGTAGTAACTAGCGACAGAAATGAAATATAACTTTGTAATCCATGTGTACAAGGTGCAACTGTAACGGCAACAGCAACCCGCGATAAGCATGTCGTATGACATGCAATCCGATCAAAATGTCCCACTAATTAACGGAACGACCATTGCTCACTCTCTCTTTCTCTCTTCATGCTTTTTCTTACAGGTGCTTAAGCTTCGAATTCCACAAAGCGCACAAAAGTGCACCACTGCTTCTTGCTCCCTCTGCCGTACTCTTTGATAATCTCTTCTGAGAGTTAAGTACTGGGCAAACGAGTTACACCAAAACTCAATTATGGCATTTCAGAGAGAGTTGTGAATTTGGCTCCAAGTCCCGACCGTAGATTACCCTTTTTAAATGGCAAATATTTACTTGGTTTGCAATTTATACTAAATTTAAGGTGAAATTTTGAGTGTAAATCTTGTTTCGCCAGTACCGTTTTCTGCTGCTGCTACATACAAACATACATACTACATATACCGTTACATACTTTTGTGCGAGCAAGCGAAATGAAAAGGCGAACATGCCATGGCATGCAAAATGCAATTGGAAAATATACTCTAAGAACAACAACACAAAACGCAAGCGTAGCTGAAACGCCCCGCACTTTATCGCCTTCATCCTTGTCAGTGTTGCGGGTGAGGGGGAACGAAAGAGGTAGAGAGGGGCGGGGTCGACCAGAGGTTGCTAAGGTGCGATAAAAAAGTAAAACAAGCGAAAGCAAGCAGCCAGGAAACAACAACAAACAGCAATGAACGAGAAATACATACATACATACATATGTAAGTGAAAGAGAGCAATGGTAGAAAACGACTGCTTAATACCCTAGTAAAGGCGAACTGCCAGGTGCTTAAAGCTGCCATAACATGACGATATTTTATTGCTGGCTTACCACTATTCCTATTCCTGTAGGAGAATCACAGGTGTTTTTATTGTCACGGACCAACCGAATTTAGCAGGAAATGTACTCTTTTCGTTGATTTCTTTCGAAGAAATAGCACTCGCACACACAGGGGCGGAACATTTACAGTTTTACATGCAAATGCAGCGAAATGAGCCCTTGACATGACATACCAACTCAGAACTGACATGGAAATGTGCCGAGACATACTCGACTGCAGGTGGGGGAATATGGGAATACGGTATCCATGGGACTGGCCCCACACATGATGGACAGACGGAGGACGGCGACTGATGGCCCTGACGTAGTGCAAGAGAGAGAGAGAGAGAAAGAGAGAAAAAGAGAGAGCGATTCCACTTTGGAATACTCACAAATGTTCTTACATTCCCACTTCCACCCAAAACAACTCCTCCGACCAGAGATGATTTTACTTCACTTTTTGCACCGCTCAACATTGCTGTAATGCCATGCCCAAGAAATGTGTATAAAGTAGCACCTTAACATTAACAAATGTTCAATGAATATTACCAATGAAATCCCAAAACTCTATCCCAGATAATCAGTAGAATATAGGGAGTGCTGAGTGTTTCCCAAATCTAACCAATAGTTTTAGAAAAGTGTTAATTTCCAGCATCATTTTAATTCCACAAAAAAATCCGTACTATTTTTCAGAAGCGTCATCCAACTGCAATAGTGGCATCTCGCCAAACTCCAGGCCAACTGAACCGGAACCCACCTGACCAAACCATGCACACTACGTATATCCGCACCTAGCACAATCAATTCTTATTTATTCATTAGCTCATTAACCAAATGACTGTGGAGCATTGTCACCTTCTGTTTGTTCGTGCAAACATTTACTCTGGCTTTTTCCGACGAAAGATTTTGGCAAACACAGTCAGAGCGAAAATAGAGTTTGGTTTAGTCGCGTGATAGTCCAGCTTACAATCTCGAATTTCACTTTCATTCGGGGCAAATACTCGTATTTGTCTTGCGCAAAGAGACAGAAGAGGTAACTACTATAAAATCGAGTGGACCAGTTGGGTCCAGGGCAGTCAGTTCCCGAGACATCAATCTGTCAATGCACAAGCAGCATAATGAAGTTCTTCGCTCTGCTCGTCTGTTGCCTGCTGGTCCTCAGCTTTAGCTCTCCGATGGAGGGACGCCTCTTTCTTACCAATCGCAGCGGCATCTTCTGTGTGTGGACCGCAAAGAGATCCTGCTCCAAGACCACGCCCGTGTGTGTCGTTTTGCAATTAACCGCATCTAATGGCGTTATCACCACCACCTGTAAATACTATCGCAGCGAGTGCCAGTACAGCATCGATTCTTGTTTGGGAAAAACGGGTAAGTACAACACGTTTTGAAGCTTAGATTTAAGCGTTTAATATTTTAATATCCCTTTAGTCCCCACCCAGAATGTTTTTATAATTTCGTTCATTTTTCTTTCAGCGTATGGCCAAAGTGGAGTCGTAGATACTACTGGGGCAACCTGTTTGGGGACTACCCCTCTGGGAGGAACCAGCGCTTGCTAGAGAAGATATTCATTCCATCAACTATGTATAGATAATTATCCTAAGCTATAACGATTATAAATTTCATATTTATTGTCTCTACTAAAGGGTCAAAAAGGGACATTTATTCATTTTATGATTGTGGCAGACACATCGAAAGCGTCCTGGTTTTTGTCATTCAATCCTGCCCCTAAGCAGAGCTTGGAAATCGTTTATTTAAATAGTTTGCAACTCTTTTGGCATTTTATGACCCTCCTCCAAACACACACACTCGCACGTAGAGCTCGTCCTATCGCCATGATGTATGCTATCAAGTGGTTCCCTTCGTCCTTTTTTAATTGCAATCGCATAAATTGCACTTTTTGTGTGTGTAGGGGGAAAACGAGCAGGGAATTATGGTTATGGTCACGCAGACAATGTAAATTTATAGAGCTTTTGCTTTTTAGTTTGCCATTTTTTTCGCCATTTTTCGTTGTTGGACAAAGCAAGCGGACGTGAGTGGCGAACGCCTGCGGATGCAATTAGAATGCCAGAAAAGAAATCCATGCACATGCCCCACACAATATGTATATCTGTATGTATCATATATATACACGCACATATGTATGTACATCGCCCTCGGCTGAGAATTGGGTCATTTCCGACAATTTAAGCGTTTAAAGTTCGAAAAATGTTCATAATTTTAGCAAAAATGTTCGCTTCGAAAGGGGGCTGGAAACAGAGGGTGACAGAGAGGATAAACGACATTACCCTGCAGTAAAATCAAATTTTAAAATTAACAGACAAATCAAATCCCCATACAATTGATTAAAATTAAAATCTAAGTTGTGTATCCATCAATTACTTTTTTCGATATTTTATTTACAACGTACCTGAATTAACTATTTAAGAGTTGTATGTTTTTTCTTCCCTAGGAATTTTGTATATACATATGTACATATATGCAGCTTAACCCGTTCTTATAATTATGGGCGTTATGTTCGACGAGGAAGATGAGCCCAATATAGAGGACAGAATGCTGGACCAGCCACCAGTAGAGGATGAGCTCGAGGTTGTGGACGATGACGAAGATGTGGAGAAAGTGCTGCGGCAGGTTCCTGTCTGATTTACCGTAATGCTCGAACAATTGCCCAGATTGACTACATTCCAGCCTATAGGATAAATTGATAAGTACCAGAAATGCATAATCGTGTATTCCGCACTCACTTGAGACAGTTGCCCGACAATTGGCTCGCTCCATCAGGCAACGATTCCTGAATCGGTGGCAACGGCGTGTCCTGCTCCAGCGTCCGCAGACGTTAGAGTTAACACTGCAGCTGCTGGTGGTGGTCACACAGCGGGATGAGGGCGTAGAGCTACTGCTGCTACTGCTGCTGCCGGAGCCGTTAATGATTATAACCGATTTACTTCGGGAGTTGCCCGTGGTTTTAGCTACTGTGGTGCGACGTGCGCTTACCGAACGCCGCCGCGCATTGCTTGTGCTGGCCCTGGCATTGCGATTTGCCTGAGCACGCACCTGGCGAGGTGTTGCACTGCTAAAAGCCTTGGCCTTTGCTTGGCGTCGTTGCCTGTTTTGAGCCTGAGAAGCCACCACGATCAGTGCGATCAGAACCAGAAGAGACAACGCGAGACGCATTCTTCAATTTATTTTAGCTTTTGGTTCTATCTTTAGAGGAGCTCTTCGGTTTTATACCCCCCAAACGAACGTCTCTCTGCCTGGCCTTGGAAGATGTGTATTATAATATTTCTTCCTCCATTCTCTGAACACATATTAGCATTCGAAATTTCTTTGCCTGGACTTTGTTCTATTCATTTATGTTATTATCTACCTACCCAATTGTGTAAATACTTTAGAGCCAAAAAGAAAGAGATGAGGGGGGACTGGAACTGCTTCACGTGTGTGGAGTAGATATTTTAGGAAGCTCGCTGTTTAAATACGGCAAGAGCAAATAAGTCATTTGACTAATCGTTCATAATATTAATCATACTTTTAGGCAGTTGCAAAAAAGGGAAATTTGAATTTTAAAGGTGGTTGTCGTTGGGATTTACTCGCTGCTAGCTGTACCTATAGGTATGGAAACTGTTTCAAACTGTTTAGTGTTCGTTTCAAATTCGTGGAAGATTTTCTCCTTAGTTAGGGATTTTTAAATTGTCGATTAGTTCTCATTCCTTTTAATGGATTCACATAGCCATGCCAAATATTCGATACGATATACTAAAACTATAGTCCACAAATGAACAATTGAGTGGAGCATTGGAATTGAGTTGGATCACGTTTTGTTAGTTTATTTGCTGCTGATATTAAAATATAACTTTTAAATGTATTTTCAAGTGTAAATATATTAATGGATTTGATTTGGGATGGAATATGATTTTGTTTTTTATACCCTGTCACAGCAGTCCCTTCTTCACTTCTTCAAATCTTCACTTTCTTACTTATTGTCAGATTTGTATAGTGCTCGTATTAGCGGACATCTGTCCCGATTAGCCAGATTCTTTAATGATTTTTGTTCCGCCAGCTTTGATTTGGTCGCCTTTACTGTCGCCGTTTTGTTGTTGTTGTTGGTGCCACTAGCGTTGACCTTTATTGCGTTGGTGCCACTACCGCAGGGCAGCTTCTGATCGTATGGCATGCCCCTGCAGAGACTCTGGCTGACTTTGCGATGGACTGAAATGGAGGTAAACAGATAAAAGTCAGCAAAAATGCGTAGACTCCACTCACAATCGGTCACTCCCTTGTTGTTGCAGTTTAATAACCTGCGTTGGCAGTCGTTCTTGAAGGCCTGACAGATGTTGGCCCTTCCAAGTCGCCCACATGATTTGGTCGTGGATGTGCACCTACTCTGGACGTTCTTCAGACAGGTCTGAGCTCTGCGGGCACTTTGGTTAGCGCGGGTCAAGAAATTGCTTACTGATTGGTCAAACCGTTCGGTTGTGCTGCCGCTGTTGCTGGACATGACCAGGTGGAGGAGGCTAAGGGCCAGGATGGTACACAAGCAGCAAGTGGCTTTCATGGCGGCGAATTTGTTTCAAACAAAACTGAATGACAATTAAAAGAATAGCTTTCTTGGCTTTTATACAATTTCATCTGTATTTGCTTTGCAAAAAATTATGAAAACACTTTGCTCTAGTAACCGTAACCACTTCAATTTCAATTGACTCTCAGCTGAGCTAACAGATCTCTCTCTCTCTCTATCTCCGGAAAGAAGTTAAAAGATTTCAACCTTGTTCTGCATAATGAGTTCAGTTTTGTTTCTCTGTGGATTTTAAAAAGTTTATTCACTAAACAAGATTCAACCTCGGCGTATGATGATGGGAATAACATTTGAAGTCGAGCTGGAGGAGGATGAGAAGGAGGAGGATGAGCTGCTGCAGATTCCCCGACTATTCAGACTGATTCCCGAGCACCTGGACAGGCTGACGGCCGTGTAAGCGGTGGAGCTGACACACGACTGGTAGCGCAGGACGCAGCTGTTCTTGAAACGGTTGCACAGATTGGAGCTACCGTAGCGGCCACAAGCATTTGTCGTGGAGTTCCAGCTGCAATTCCTCAGCACACAGACCTTGGCCCCAGTGTTGCTGTTGCTGGTGCTGCCAGTGAGGAAGCCGCAGGCCAGGGCCAGGATCGCCAGGAGTGTGGACAGGGCTAGAGCGGCTTTCATTCTGCTAGTTGCTGATTTCAAAGTTCTTTGATGCCATTTGGCTCGACTGTCTGGACTATTTATAGTGCTAGAACATTTCTGAAAGAATCGAAAGCAGCACATTGCCATCCGCAGTGTGGAGAGATACACCTGTCCAAATAAAGAGTGACATTGGGTGACAATGCAAGATGATAACATTGGGCACCTTGGGTGCGAATAATGCCCATTGTTAAGGCCTACGCGAATCAGGCAATCCGACCTGGTATCATCTAGAAGCCTCTAATTTAAAACCTTGAATTTAAAGCACACTTACCTCTGTTCATTAAACTAGCTGCTTAAACTGAACCCTATTTTAACTCTAACAATTTTTGAATGTCGTGTACATGTGCTCCAAAGCGTCTACCATCTACTTCGGAAATACTCGTATTGGACATGAATATTACAAAAAAGTGAAGCATAGCATACTTTCGGATACTGTGAATAATCCTACCAAAAGAGTGTAGAATTGGCATTTTGTGGGCGTGTCACGGCCTATAAGAATAGGTATATACTCCTTCTGTGCATTGAATGTGTATCCAAGGGCAAGCTTGTTAAATGTTGAGTCTCGTTTCTATGTCTGATAATCGGGGGAGTGGCACGCCTTTTTGAAATTAAACGAATATCCTGGACTTATTGGGAATATTGAAAATTTTTCAACTATTAGAGAATGTAACCACTCAATATTCGCAGTGGTTTGATACTTCCTCTCCTGCTCAAAAATTCTGTTATAAACCCAAAAACTTTGTCCATTTTGTTGCGTCAAACTGTAAAGAAAGCCAAACTGAGGTTATCTTGCTTTTGTGGCTATAATCGACTTTTCTTGCAGCTCCATCTCTTCAATCTCTTGCATACAACAAAATTCATTCCCAACTACCAACATTACGAGTAGAAAAATTGAGCGGATAATCCCTTCCAGCTGCCACCCACACCCAACTCATAGCTCTAAACTAGCACCACCTACCAAATGGAATGCTTGTGGCAGCAAAACAAACGCATAAAGTAAAATACAAACACCAAAAGCGAACAAAAATCAACTATCTCATGTTCAACATTATTATTACTTTTTGTTGTACTCAACTGAGTGCGTTTAGTAGTTGTTTTTTTGTCGTTTTTGTTTGTTAATCAATTCGAAAAACGCACTTTAATAAAATGCTGTTGACGGCATTGTTGAGTGACTGACTGCCGGTCAAGGCTGGAAATCAGTTTCGATAATTGGCTTTAGATGGAGCGTACTTGAATGAGCTCTTGCCAGCGCTCCCTCTTGTTGAGAGCTGCATTTTCTAGTGGGTTGCTTCTGGGACCAATCAAAAAAATATTTATGCAAAAACGAACGTTTATTTCTGGCCAATTTTTGCCAGGCTAGCCCACAAATTTGCATTTATTTGACGAAAATTTTATGTGCGTGTCTGGTGCAGTTTGAAGTTTGGCTTGCGGCGAAATAATTGAGCCAAGTCAAGCATCCATTTAGGCCAGCCAGTCATTTAGTTGCCCATTGAATCGATAACGTCTTAGACATCATATCACACCATTCTGCTTGCCTGCCCAACTGTGTCACCAAAGGGGACAAGAGTCTTGTGTGTTTGCTAGTGAAATCAGAGCACCACTTTCTGTTGACTCAAGGTGAGTTCAACCGATGAATTGTGTCTTCAATGGGCAGCAATCGCAAGATATTTTCATTCAGTAAAAGTAAGTTAGATAAATAGTTGAATATAAATTCACTTTCTTGAGAGTTTTCTATACTAAATTATTGATTTCATTTTGTGGCAGTCATCCCCTCCCTAGAATATCTTCTATCGCTCTTTGCTGTGACCAAATTTTATTCGTTAAAATAACATTTCATCATTTAATTAGGGTTACCTCCCTCCACTAATGATTTCTGGTTGGATTGCTTTTCGGGTTTATTGGTTTGAAAACTCATCAAAATTATGGATTTACTAGCAATAGCTAATGGATAATACTTTAATTAGGTTCATATCGCAAATTGATCCATCGAACACTGCAAATCTGATGAAAATCCCATAAATAGTTGAGTGCATTTCCGCTTGCTTTGTGGGTCATTTTTAATGAAGCTGCTGCACATTGCCAGTCAGCATTAATCAATTTGTCAGACTCAATTAAGCTGCAGATACATCCACTCTAAACAAAAGATCGATTATATAACCCGAACCAGTGGCAGGCAGGCAAGCCCCAAATGGGTGCCGATTAATCAGCCATTGGCAGTGAAAATGGATGAGCACTAAAAGAGACCGCAGAAATGTGCGATGAAAACAAAAGCCAGTAAAAAGCAAACACAAGAGAATAAAGAGAAAAAGGGGGGATGCAGACAGAGATGCGGCCTGAAGATGCCACTTGAAGTTGCGGCCAACGGGTTTGGTCTGTGCTCTGTCGCATTGCAGGAAGTTGCAAGTTGTCAACGGGTTCGGGTACGGGTTGGCCGCATTTGGCCATAGCTATCTATGGCATGTCATTGATGACGTTGTTTTGGCAGGGTATGTACGACTTGTGTTGCACCTGCCTGAATGAAGGAACATTTCACATATGGATAGGAAAGTCAAAGGAAATGTTATTTTTTTATACTTTCAATAAGAAGATTGAACAGCTGCAGAACAGCCCCATAAGTAAAATACATCATCGCTGCTTATGTATCCCTCTTAGTTGGCATCAACCAGTCGGTTCTTCGCTGCAGGCACGCAGCATCCTTATACAGATCTGCAATTGATGGCTGGCGCTGCAATCAAAATTATTTAATTTAGTTGCGGCAAATGAATTCGCGGTCTGCAATTCGCGTGATGCTGCCAATGCGGCAATCAGAGACGCGACTGCGCCCCCGTTTATCAGCTAACGGAAAGAAAGAGCAACAACAAACTTTCACTTTCGACCGCGTTCACTTCGTCTCGTCTCGTTTCGTTTCGTTTCATTTTGCTGTCTTTTTCTTGTACGCCTTCTTTTTGTTGGGCAGGTCAGTTATAGCACAGCGTTGGAGTTGCAGTTGCAGTTGGAGCTGGTGCTGGTGCTGGACTTGGTGCTGGATGTGGACCTCGGGGCTGGGGCTGGGGCTGGAACCGACTGCCATGGTTGAGTGCAGTTTCGATTTGGTCTCCACTAATCATTGGGCTTTTGTTGTTGTCTAAGAGAATGGTGTAATATAATTTTAATTTGTACCCAGAAATGATTGCCAATTGCCGCTGCCTAATGTTGATTATACAATTTTCTTGCTGCTCACTTTGTTTTTCGTCTTAAACGAAAGTGTTTTGAGCGCTTTGGCCGAGGGTAATACTTAAGCCACAGATTTGAACACACACAATTCGGGTAATTATTTATTGTTTTTTTTTGGGGTGTGCAGCGCCCGGCTGAGAGTCGGGTCGGGGTGACTTGGGGCGTACACAATACAAGATCATCGTGTGTGCGCACGAGCATTCACTGTTGGCCAAAGGCGATGGATGGAAGGTCTAAGGTCTAGTGGCAAAAATAAATACGGTACGTACGTTTATGCCCGGTGGACATGGGTCCACCAAAAACCAATGCGAGGCGCGCATGCGTGAGGTCGTCGCACTTAAATGTCAAACGGTTCAGTGCTCTAATGAGACCCACCGACCCGCCGCCAGCAAGAGCAGCTCCGTACGCCCCAAACCAAGTCAAATATTGGTCAATTCGATCGGGACAAGTCGGCTCGCAAGTCGACTTGCGAGGCTTGTCGCAATTGCTGCGGCTGGTGCTGTCTGCGGCTGTGGCAAGAAGAATGACCATAAGCAAGACAGATTATTGCCGGCCTGTCTAATTTATACAACTCATTGCGATAGAGACGACGACAGAAAATTCGTCGTCCAAGTTGGTCGTTAATTAATGCGATTTCGGTTCGACGCTAATTAAACTTATGGCTCTTTTACACACCCCAGCACATTGGCTCTACCACGAACCACAAACGAACCTGCCACAAAAATGGCAACTATTGGAAGATCGGTCTCTGACAAAGCCTCACCTTATATGAATACACCTTGGAAAGGCACACCTGAGTGAAGTGCGCAGTTCTTCTCCTTCTCATCGCAACATGTTCGCTCTCCAACATGTTCGCTCACTCACTCCATCTCCATGACTGTTGTCTTGCATGCAAATCGAGCGAATGTTCGACTGCAGTTTTCTTGTTGCTTTTGATATTCTGTTTTTTCCCGTTTCTCCTCCCCACCCCCCATAAGACGCGGCTGGCGGCCAAATTTGTGCGTTTAACGGTGTCTGAGCCCGATGTCTGTGCGAGTGGCCACCAATCCATATCCAAGCCAGCCATAGGTGGATAGCCTCCAAATGCCACAAGAACCCAATGTATGGACGTGGCCAGTTTTTTAATTGCCTCAAAATCATACATACTCTTTTTATCGATTTTGTATTTTGTAGGCCACAACTTGTGATTGCGAAATCTGCACAAGGGGGGAGGAGGCCACAATGGAATATTAATAAATATATGTATGTATAATAAAATCTATCTTTATACATATATAAAAATCTCGTGGCACGGTGTTTGTGGTTGAGCTTCTTCCACACGGCTCGACCGATTCTTATGATTGCGATTTAAATTTTTGCTTGCCTCCTAATACATACATATGTACATATATTTGCTGTATGGTATTTAAAATTCAACGGAAAAGGATAGAAAGTATTCGTATTAAAAGTACGTATTAAAAGTATTCGGCATCACGTGATAAGAGAAAATACAACTATAAGATTTGTTTTAGTTGAAAACTATAAAGAAGTCCTCCCAACTCACAACCACAACTCAATGTATTCTGTGTTCAACTTCATATAATAAAAACGATGTCCAACTATTTAAATATTCCCATTAACACTTTTATACATATTTGCCCAGAGCCAAGTATTTAAAATTCCGCTCTTAAGTGCTAATCAAAGCAAATGGGAATTTGCATAAGCTGAAGTGATTTCCTCGTTTTAAGTTCTAGAGACCGAAACTATGACTCCATCGGAAGGTGTTAAGACTTTCGCGATTCTGTCAAGATCAATACCATGATTATGATGAT